CGGGTTTGTTGTTTCCCATTTTTCGATAGTGTCACCTACAGCTTCCATTCATTCTTTGCACCCTAGTTTTAGAGCGGAAAGGCGGGCTACGAACTTGTCGTCAACGGAAATCTCTTTTTTCGGATGATGAGACTCCGACACCTACTTTAGCCCCGTCTTACCCCTGCTGTTCACATAAGCCTACATAAACCCTACCCTGGGTGGCGGCGTGCGCCACATGGTGGCGCACGCGAAAAATACACTGGCCGTCCGTTATGGGTTAACCTTCCTGCTGCTCCCTTACCGATAATCAATTTACCAGCAGCTCCAGATCCAATAATCAACCCACCGTCCGCTCCAGTTACGACATTTCATCAACAATCGGCTTCACAACCACCTATAATTCGCATACCGAAAGCACCACCTGCATCACAAACAACAATTTTCAAATCTTTTCCCAGGAATTTCTTGTGTCCATCATGGAAACACTAGTCAAATGATTTATCTCTTGGCTAAACTCAACAACTCATCAATAGTAGCTCTTCTAGACACTGGATCCGCTCTTACAATCGTCTCCGAAACAGTCGCTAGAAAAATCAAGGCTCAGCTTTCTCAGCCCTTGGTTACAAAAGGTATCACAGCGAATGGATCCTTTATGGACCTTCTTGGCCAATTCTCTCCACATCTTACTATAGGAAGCAAAACCATAAGAATCACTTGCTATGTCGCTTCGGATGCCAATTGTTCTTCTCCGTTCATCCTAGGCAACGACACAATCCAACGTTTCACGAAAACTATGTCAATCAATTATCATTCCCACACAGTTTCTTTCGATAAGAATACTGTCCCATTCACAACACTAAATTATAGCAACCATGACCTTCTTAATCTTCCTGTTCATTTAGTCGAAAACATTACCCTGCAACCATTTTCAGACAACATAGTTATGGGAACCACTAATACTATATTTCCCCAGCATTGGGAACTCTTCACCTCTGATAACCCACTGTATAACATACCGAACGGAATCCACGTAGGCAAAACCCTCTCATGCCCAAACACTCAGGGAACAATATGTTTACGCATATTTAATTCATATCCTACCCAAATTCCTTTACAAAAAGAAAATCCTATTGCGATAGCAGATTTTGTAGGAGTAGAAATGCTCTGGGAACCCATATTTTCAGTATATCATAATAATGCTACTGCCAATGGAACCCAGCAAATTAAGGAATCATCTGAATATATCCCACCTGAAGCTAACTTTGCTAAAGAATTACCCCACTTTCCCAACAATCAATCCACAGAAATCGAAAACCGCGTTCCAAATCAATCATTCTATTCTGAATGAAAAGCAACTTTTTGATTTCCACAAATTATTAGATAAATATCACGAATGTTTCGTAGGAAAAGATGGAAACCTTGGTCGCTATAATGGCCCAATCACTCATAGTATTAATTTTATACCGAACTCAAAAGCACCAAAACAAAGACCTTATCGAGTGCCTCTGGAAAAACGCAAAGAGATAGAACGACAAATCCAAGAGATGCTAAGAACACGCATCATTGAACCTAGCACCAGTAAGTTCGCTTCCCCAATAGTACTGGTCAAAAAGGTCCAAATAAAGACCAATGGCGATTTACAGTTGATTATCGTCAAATAAATGCAATTACAGAGACCGAAACTTATTGCATTCCACATATGCAGGATATTCTAGATTTGGTGAGTGGAAAAGAAATATATTCGGTTCTAGATTTTAAAAGTGGTTTTTTCCAAATACCTCTATTAAAGGAACATAGGGAACGCACAGCGTTTTCTTCATTTTTGGGATTATACCAATTCACGGTAATGGCACAAGGGCTAAAAGGTGCCCCAGCTACATTTCAGAGGGTAGCGAACAGCCTTATACGTGAACTTAAATCGTGCTGTTTTGCATATATTGATGATATTATAATTGCAACTCAGTCAATCGAAGTACACCTAGTGGAGCTAGAAGAAGTGTTCCGACGTATCAAACGCCTTGGAATGAAATTGACTCCTGAAAAGTGTTCATTTTTTCAAGCCG